GTACACTTGTTGAAAAATCATCAAAGATCAACTAGAAACACTCATTCCTTGACTCTTTGCCAATCTTCTCAGTGCCTTAGCAAAATTTTGTTCTTTAATGGCATGTATATCTTACTTTTATTCGACAAATGAAGAGAAGTGGTCACAGTGTTTGCACGCTTTCGACTCTGAAGGAGATAAGTATTGTTCATACAAAATTTTTGAGCTTTACTATTAAAAATAAAAGGAGACGATCTAAAAACTTGTTTTCCTACTTCGTCTTCAATATGGGTTTCTTCTTTTTGCTCCGCCTTCCCTTTAGGGACACCAGCAGTCGAGACATTCTCTTTTTATGACTCTATATATTGAAACATGAGTTAGATTACTGCTACTAAGAAATTCAAAGTTAAAATGGAATGCTAGTAATACCTTTGATGCTAGGCCAGACTGATCACTTATATCGACAGTATCCCTCATGTCTTTCCTCAAAGCGGCAGCTGTAAAGAAGTGTTACATAGTTAGTCTAAGAGACATAAAAGGAGAAAAATCTTAAACCAACGAGCCTTGATGCCTCACCATCAATAATTTTGGATAACACTTCGACATGATTGATGTCGACATGAAGGTGATCCCGGTAGCTGTATATATTGTGCTTGTTTGGAACCACTCTTTGGGAAGGTATTTTATAAGTATTTTCTATGTCTTTTTTAAAACATTTCTACAAACTAACCATCTTGAGAATGAGGGCGAAAATATCAAGGCCGATTCACATGAAGGAAAGGGTGGAAACTTTGGCTTATGAAAAAACAAAGCGAAAAGATATTTATCCTTCACATAGGAGGAAAATTTTAGGTTTGATATTTTCTTAATAAGTTTTTCTTTTAAAGTAGCAGTTGCCTCAGAGATGGGCCGACGAAGCTCACAAAGATTGTACACAGTTTCTAAGTAGAGTTGGAAAGTGCAAAGTTCTTTAATGTGTGTACATGTACCTTTTTTTAACTTGGTCTACAAAGAAATGAAAGTTTTAGTTAGATGATGCGTATTGCTCATCACGGTGACAAATTTTTTAATTTGATAGTCTTTCTACCAAGTGTCAAACTCTCAAATGCACTATAAGGATTTTTGGAATTTAAAAAGAGTAAGCTCTAAACTTTCTTCAGCTTGTTTGAGAATGAGTTCAAAATGTCTCCTTGGACATTCAGATAGTGCTCATGCATAAGTATTTCTTGGGTTGGAAGTAGAAGTTTGGTGTCAGAAAAGCTTTTCAGATCTCGACAGATTCAGCCTGGTTTTCAGCATTTAGTGCATGGAATTCTCTTTTGAATCATGCAGGGTCATGGCGTTTATCCATGAAGGGAGCAAGGTGAGAGATAAACATGTATAGCTTCACAAACATCATATAATATTTAGTGAAGATATCTTATGTCAATATCCCTTTGTCGGCAAGAGTAAGCAATGTTAGTCTGCTTCCTTCAATAGACCATTCCATGGGTTCTTCAGTGGGTTTCTTGGGTTTGTTAGCCATCAAACATGGCTCAAATGTGGCATTAAGCCTAATTTGGAAGAGGTAGAAGGGACCAGACAGTAGAAGAATTCCTTTGGGAGTGTTGGTGAGGATAAATGTTTTCATGGCATGAGATGCCAGGTTTGAAGCTTCATAAAATGATACCATAATTAATTGGCTTAAGCAAATGCTTCTTCTAGAACATTTTTGGTTGGCTTGAGTGACAAACTTTTTCGCTGCTTGCAAAGAAATTAGGCAAAAAAGAAAAAAAATGTGGTAGTCATAGGGACAAGAAGGCAATTTGTTCTTAGTTGGTAACTTCCTTGGTAACTTCCATGGATAATTGGATCAGGTCAAAAAGACCTTGATCTTTTTAAATATGTTATTTCTTGGATTCTACCTTATTTAATCAATTAAGGTAATTTGAGTGATTGGTATACGGATCCGAGCAAAAGACATAGGTAGACATATAAGTAAAATCTAAGGATTGATTTATGACTGCAAGAGGTTTTGTACAGTGGTAACAAGGGAAAAACTCACTAACTTTGTACGGAGGCACAAGAGGCACTGATGTACCAAAGACAACGTCAGAGAACGGGGGCAGAGGAGCCTGAGGAGCTCTAGTCTGGTATACGCGGTAGTAGATACTATTTGTACTTTGGATTTATTATTGATTATATTTTATTTTGATTGATTTCGAATACATTGTGTATTTCGAATTCATTGTGTATCGGTTGATGAGTTTTTTTTACCATCTAGATTTATATATGTCATTTTTTTTGTATATGGATTGTATGATTTAATTCTCGTCACATAATAGGGATCTTAACATTTATAAATTGTTATTTTCATCTGAATAATCATAAAACTAACTTAACTTGCACTGTTTTGACTGTTTACGGATATGCATCTCAATAAATCTTAAACGGAGATGCATCTCCGAAACAATAAACGTATAAAATGGGTCTTTCAATGAAGAATGCATGGTGTGTGTTTTGAAATATTTATGAGATGCATCTCCAAATCAATTAACATTTTGACTTAAGACAAGATGCGTCCAAAGATTCATCTCCAAAATCTGAAAGACATTTTGAATTTTTTATATGCTATTTTTCCATCCCATAAAATTTGATAAGAAATTCTCAAAAATTATAGACTCCATGAAATTTTCGTATGATATTTTTTCATCCCATTAAATTTGATAAGAAATTCTCAAAAATTATAGACCCCGTGAAATTGACCGACACCTCTTAGTGCTTGGCCTGCTATCTCTAGTTATAATAAATTAATGCAAACGTTGATCATATGTATAAGATATAAAATAACATGGTTGACCGGCTTTTCACATGAAACCAAATCCAAATTGATTCTCTTATGTTTTCTAATTATTTGTTCATTTCATGTATACAATTACATATATTATCATTTTTTGAGTACTTGAAAGATACAACCATTGGGAGCAGATGAAGATTTTAAGTATTCTTGTGATAGTATTATTGGAAAGTAGCATCAAGGCCTATAGTGAAATTTGTCAAATTTCTTTGAGAGAAATCAGTAATATCAATAGCCAAGGACCATACATGGTATAGTTGTGCCAAATGCCTTTGAGTTGAAGCCTCTTCTTCAATCATCCAGCTTTCTGCCTCATAACAAGTTTCCTTACTTTGACTTTGTTGGTAATCTTTATAATAATATGTTGCTCAATATATATGAATTTTGATAGAACATTATACATCGTTTTGATTTTCTTGACACTGTAGGAAAACATTTTCGCATTGGTGAATTGGAAAAGAAGAAGGTTATTGTTGTTATGAGTGGAGAGAGTATGGTAAGTTTAGTTTCTAATGTGTCTATGTTTTTACTCAAACTTATATGGTTATATTTCATTCTCTTTTCTTAGTACTTTTGGTATATTTTTTGTAGCTAAATGCAGGTCTTGCCACCCAATTGTTGCTTACTTTGTTTAATGTAGAAGGAATTCTTCATTATGGAATTGCTGGTAATGCAAATTCCAAATTCCAAATTGGAGATGTGACTATTCCACAATTTTGGGCTCACACAGGACTTTGGCATTGGCAGGTACTTACAAAAGTTACATCAATTATGTCGAGTTTTTTAAATAGTCCGTAAATTTTATATCACCGACATTTCTAAATAAATATGTGTCTGTTATCCGTAATGTATCAATGTCTGACACTGACACATGTAATTATATTTAATTTATTTATTTCTAAATTATTATTTATGTTAAGTGATTCGGTTTCATGCCTATGTCAGTGCTTCCCAATTCCTAAGCTACAAAATTTTAACGGTTTAAGTATTGAGTTCGAATCTCCTCAAAATCCGTTGTAAAATGATCATTACTGCGAATTTTGATCAATGAAATATTCTCCTTCTTCAATTAAGCAGAGGTTTGGTGAAGACAGTGGAGACTTCAGCAGAGAATTTGGCTACCTAGAGTTTTCCAACTACAATAACAATACAAAACATGCCAAATCAGTGGAAAATCTGTTGAACAAGGTTTGGTATCAACCAGAGCAAATTTTTCCTGTGGATGTAACTCCTGAAGTAAAGCAGCATGCTTTTTGGGTTCCAGTTGACAAAAATTACTTTGAGATTGCAAGAAAACTGAAGGTCAGTTCAATTCAATCCACCATCTCATTATAAATGTTTTTGGTGTGCACTGTAGCCAAATTTCAGTATAAACCATTCGATCGAGATTGGACAGTTTAGACGTGTCTGTCTGAGTATAATGGTATGGTCGTCAAATTGAGGATAATTTTTCACTTATTTTCTGCAGAATGTTGAATTGAATAGTTGTGTTAACAAGACTTGCTTGCCAAGAAAGCCAATGGTGGTGAGAGTAAAGAAAGGGGTAAGTGCCAATGTGTTTGTTGATAACAAGGCTTATAGAAATCATTTGAAGTCCAAATTTGATGCTACTCCAACTGACATGGAAAGTGCTGCTGTCGCTTTGGTTTGTTACCAACACAAAATACCTTTCATTGCCATTAGAGCATTGTCTGATTTAGCTGGAGGTGGTTCTGCATTGACTAATGAAGTGTCTATCTTTTTATCATTGGCCTCTCAAAATGCATTTGATGTTCTTGTCAAATTCATCTCTTTGCTATAATTTAGTAGCTTTAATGGGTTTCTTGAAGTGTAAGCAAGGGACATTTTTAGAGGGAGAAAGCAATCATGTGTTTCAAATTCTCTCTTATGTTATGTACTCAAAAATAAAAGCATAATGAAATCTACTAATTTTTTTGCAAAAGAAAGTTCACTTTCATCACATTACTCCTCTTAATCTCTTTAGATGCAACCATGAGAATCAAGTCTCAAGAATATATAGGTCAAAAAAACTGTAAAGAAACAAAGTTCAATATCAATAACTAACATTACCAACCATCTGAATGACAAAAATAAAGGTTATCTAAGCATTGTGAATGCTTTGCATAAATTTTAGTATGTATAACATATTGCAAAAATAGCGCAGCATAAGAGCTCAAGAAAATTCTTATACAACATAACGGTATGTAACATATCTGCCTGCAGTTTCACTTGGCCGGATGATCCTGACAACTTGTCCACGCTTTAGTCCATAATATTTCGCAATAGGATCCGTCATCAGGATTCTAGGTAGCTGAGAAGCAGACGGTAACTATTAGATACAATGAGCCATAACAGAAATTGTAGTCGTATACTATAATTGCAGAAAACCAGACAAGAATATGCATACGAGACCAATACATTCAATAGAAAAAGACCGAATGAGTTAACGCTAACAGTTACATCTTCAGCAGAATAAATTACCAAACTAAATAGATTCAAAAGCTCCCAAGAAAAGAGAATGGCGAGGATCACAAAGCTAAACTTTCACTATGCTTGAATAAACAAATACTAATTGGAACGCTTTTCTGTTAATGATGAGATTAATGATTGCGACGGTATGCTATTCGTGGTTGCCAGTCGCAGATCACAGAAAATAGCAGTTTATTTGAACTTGGCTAGGCAATAGTACTACAGCACCGTTATTTTACAATATTTTGAACTAAATAGCATGTCGGGAAATAATAGGGATTTGTTCATTTCCGCTATACCATAGCGCCGCATTAGCCATATTTAAACAAGATTCTATGTTATGTTGTTTTAGCAAAAAGTCAGACTGAATTATTCTATCCTTTGTAGAAAACAGTTTTGTTGTTTCAAATGATGACAATTATAGGAACTTGGAACACATCAAATTCAGTATAAAATTACAGAAAACATCAGAAACAGTAATATTTAAAACAAAAATATATCAGAAGTTCTCATCTACATATTATAAGCTTGCGTCTATATAAAAATCAGATATATACAAAAAATTATTTAAAATAAAAACCTACAAAGCACTAACCTGTGTTTCTTTGACAGTGTATTTATTGAGCAAAGCTTTCTTCTCAGCATCGGTGAGCACCTGATGTGGCGGTACAAGATAGTGCATTGTGATGTTAACCAGAAGTTCATCTTCCTGCACCACAGACAATTACCTCAACAAACGTGAGACTCCTAATATTCTCCTGATGGCAATATTAATTCGTAAATTCGAAAGACTAAATTGCTCAATACTTACAATATCAATTCGTAAATTTAAAAGACTAAGGGTATGTTTGGATTGATGAATTGTGACGGAACGGAGCGGAATGGTAAATAATAAGATTACATTGTTTGGATTTGAAAATAATGGATGGAATGAAATGGAACATGATGGAATCCAATCCTCCACTTTTTGTTCCATCCGATTTCGGGTGTATGCAATTGAATAAGATATTTTTAATAAAATAGTCAAACAAAGGAGTGGGATCTATATTCCATTCTGCTCTGCTCCATTCCATTCCGTTATGTTTCATTCCGCTCCGTTATGTTCCATCAATCCAAACATAACCTAAATTGTTCGACACTTATAATTCTTATGACCATATCGGTGATCTACATAACCTAATAAATTATTACTCTATTTAAACAATTAATCATTAACTTAACTGATTAACCAAATCTGATTACTGCTGAACCAATTACCTGTCTCTCCAATTGATGATCTCATCTCCAAATTGATTATTTGATTAATCTAATCAAATTATCCAGTTAACTTAACATATTAGCTAAGACCCTATTAGACAAGGTCATATTTTGAGCTCATAGTTTATGGCTTACAAGCTCATATGTTTCAAAAAAGTCTTGTTTTGGAACAATCGTTTTTTCACGAGCTTATAGCTTAGTTTTATTGACTTATAGTTTTTCTTATAAGCTAATCCAAGTAGCTTATAGCTTATCACTCTCAACTTTACTCCTGTTATTATAATTGGCTAAAGTTAAATATTAATTAAACATATATTTTTATGTCACTTTACATTGGTAAGTTAGTTCAACCCCTAACTTTACCAAACATCATATATTCATTTAGTTAGCTTATTCGCTATAAGTCCTCAACTAGCTTATAAGCTATCAGCTATAAGCTAGCATATTCATTATCCGCTATTTCTGCATAACATAGCCTATGTCTGATTACCGTCAAGTATATGCTTGATACTTATACTCTCTAATCGATTATCTTATCTCCTAATCGACTAGCTGATTAACCTAATCAACTATCTAATTAACTTCATCAATCATCACCCTTTTTGAGAATAGCTGATAGATAATCTCATCTCCTTATGATTATCTGATTAACCTAATCAATTATCTAATCAACTTAACATATTAACCAAGTCTAATTAATCAAAAAGAGCATGGTCCCCGAATGTCAGCTTGGTTGGTATTTTGTGCATGGACACCGGGCGACCAGGGTTCGAAGTTCGATCTCTGGCGAAGGAGAAAATACTAACATAACAACTAACATACTTGATCGGTATACCCTCTAATCGAATATGTCAATTCCTAATCGAATACCAGATTAACCTAATCAATTATCTAATAACCTAATCAACCATCACCCTTTTCAAGTACCATCTTCCAACATCTATATGACTAACAATTTAGGGTTTATAAAGCAAGACAGAAACAATTACCAGAAACACTTCAAGGCGACATTTCGACGCCATTTCACTAACAGCAGCTCTGCCATAATGCGAAAGCGGATTCTGACAAATCAAAACACCTCTGAAAACATTCTCTGTAAGCATCCTCTGAATGATACCTCTAACAGTCTTAACGCCGATTTTGGCATCATTGACAAAGAAGACAGAGATTTTATCAGAAGGATCGTTTTTGTGGCTTTTGTTAATAAATAGGTCTTCTCTCTTCATATGATCGCTGAAATTCGATTTGAATTCTTGTCTCGACATGTTAATATCTGTCTCTGAAACAACGTAGTTTCTGTCTCTTAACATTTGTAAAACGGTTTTGTAGATTCTGTATAGATGGGTTATCTCTTCGTCGGAAAACACCATTGTTGGTCGTTGTAGGGTTCAACACTCGCCTGAGTTCTACGTTTTGTGTGACTCGATTTCTTTACTCTGTTTCTAAACCCTATAGACTGATACTGTGTTTGTTTAAGTAGGTTTAGAAAAGAGAGAAATATCGAAGAAAGAGATGGGAAAATTGCATATTTTATAGTTTGTATAAGAGGGAAAACGAAGAGAAACGCATCATGCTTGGTAATTTTAATAAGGTTTAATTCCACTTTTAGTTTTTTTATTTATAAAATATTAACGTTTTAGTTTTTTTTTTTTTTTTTCAGTCTTTTAGGGTCTGTTTGGTTCAAATGAGGGGGAGGGGAGGGGAGGGATTTTAATGAAGGGGAGGGGAGGGGAGGGGAGGTGAAGGAATTTTTTAATCAAATAAGTGTTTGGTTCAAAAGAGAGGAGGGGAGGGGAGGGGAGGGGATTTTAATTAAAAATGTGTTTGGTTCAGAAGGGGAGGGGAGGGGTTTTATTAATAATTTACATTTTTATCCTTATGATCTTATATAAGTCATATGATATTAAAATGTGAAAAATTTGTGCGTATTTTTGTTGGTAATAAAATTTCTAATGTTGAGTGATTAAAAAAATATTTATTTGTCACTAAAGTTAAAAAATTAAGTACAATCGATTCGACTTATAACTTTTCAACATAAATTAAACTATATGCCAATAACATCGTTTAAATTATGATGAATCATATAACAAAACAAATATATAAAATAACTTATTACTAAATATTAATGGTTCAAAATATTTAATAAAATGAATAAACAAAAATAAATAAAATGATATGGTTTACAATTTGATATAAAAGAAAATATAATAGAGTACATAACAAAATTAAAAGAAAAAAACGAATATAACGAAACATAATTTTTTTTATAAAAAAAAGACAATGATTATGATTTATATTAATTATAAAAATTATAAAATAATTTGAAGGTGAAGAAAAATTATAATAAATTGATGAAAACAATCGAGAAAAAACAGTAACATAAAAGATAACAAATAGTTTTGAAATAATAAAATTAAACTGAGGATATTTTAGTAAATATAATAATTTTTAAATATCAAAATTCATATTCCCTCCCCTCCCCTCCAAATCCCCCCAATTCGGAGGAAACCAAAAAGTGTGTTTTGGAGGGATTTTGCTCCCCTCCCCTCCCCTCCCCTCCCCTCCTAAAATTTGAACCAAACATATTTAATTAAAAATTTCCCCTCCCCTCCCCTCCCCTCCCCTCCATCTACCCCGAACCAAACACACCCTTAGTCCCTCAAATTATTATTTTTCTAAAAAAAATTAATTTCTCTTTTATTTTAATTATATGGCGCTTAAAATAATGATTGGATATGATAAGTAAGATGTCATGTCATTTAATGAATTGTTACATCATTTATATATTTTAATAAAACATTAATATTTTGAAAAACAAAAATTAATGTTAGATAATGTATATAATAAAGAACCCTAAATTGCATTGTGTTCGTTCGTTTCTTCTTCTCCAGAAATTTTTCTGCTACTCTTTCTTCTCCATGTCTTCTACTTCATCTTATCCATGTCTTCTACCTCCTCTTGTCTATGTCTGATTTTTCCCAAACAAGCAGTCGCACAAAATCTCATTTGAACTTCAAATCAAACCGAGGTGAATTTATGTGCGGCCTCGAAGCACCACTGATGACATCATGGACTGATTCTAATCAAGGACGACGCTTTTATGGTTGTGGGATGTATAACGTATTATTTTTCTATGATTTATCACTTCTACTTTCTCCAATCATGAAAATGTCTTACGTATTTTTCTCATATGTTGCTTGTAGCTTGTGGGGAAAAAAAGGTGTAGTCATTTTATTTTGTATGACGAAGAGATGATCCAAGAGCAAAAGAAATGATTACATCTTTGAAGGAAAAATTATACTCAGAGAAGAATAAGGTTAATGAATGCATGGTCAAATATGATGAATTGAAGATGTAGATTAAGTTCCTTAATATGAAACTGAAGTTTACATGTGTTATGAGCTTTGTACTGTTATTAGGTTTAGTTGTAACAAGTGTAATGAAGTAGGTTGTGGTTAAGAAATGATGTAGTATGTTTATGGTTTAGTTGTAACAAGTGTAATGAATCTAAAAGTATGAATGTAACATATGAATTGATGAATGAGAATGGTGATTTTTTGTTTAATATGGTTATGGTTTATATGGTATTTGAATTGCTGAATTGTTGAATTAGCAAATGCAGATGCATATTAGTATAGCATATGCAGATTTTAGGACATGTTCCATTTGTTTACAGATTGTACATGTTCCAATTATAGGACATGTTCTAATTATACTCATTACATAGGACATGTTCCAATTATAGTCATTATATAGGACGTATTCCAATTAAAGGACATGTCAATTTCAAATAATATGACAGGTTATGTTCCAATTACATATGCAGATTCTTGCTTCAAATAATGCATAGTTAACTGACAATGAAGTTGAGAAATTGAACATTACTTCATAATGATATCATTAAAGTCATTACATAGACAATAGCTTATTCCAATACATGGACAACAAAGCCACAAAATTCAAAGACTTGTTCAAGCACATAAACCACAAACTGATTACAAAATGACACAAACCACAAAATGTCATAAAACCTAACTATTACAAACTGACATCAAACACATAAAACTTAATTTGAACTAATCTTGAGAAGGTTAAGGTGCTTGTGATGAATTCTCAATTTCTGTTACAGCTGCCTTTGTCTTCTTTCCACCTATTGTTTCAATTTTTTGTCTCTCTCCATCCTTTGATGCATTGCCCTTCTTCTTGTTACCACCTTTGGGAATGGCTCTCTGAGCAGCCCTCTTTTCTTTGCAACTTCTTTTGTTGTGTTCCATGGCACCACATTTATGACAGCTCACAGTTGTAAGCTTCCTAGGAAGTACATGTGGATTTCTTGGTTCATCGTTCACTTTATTCCTCAGCTTCTTGGGTCGACCAATGGCCCTTCTGAGCATTGGGGGTTTGATTGGTACATGGCCCTCCAACAAAGGCCATAGTTGGGGCTTATTTGTAGAGTAAATTATATGTGAATAACTGTTATTGAAAAAAGACTTCTTGCACAACCAATTCAACAATATCTCAGCAGAAATTAAGTCATAATAAGCAAACATAATAAGCACATACATATGGTGAATGCACAAACATGTAATATTCAGAGACATAATCTTCAGGTTTTTTCTTGTTTTTCCATATACATGATATGGCATGACTACAAGGAATATCAGTCAAACCCTATTTTCTGCAAGCACATATCTGTTATTTCAGATCTACAGAGTATGTATCTCTGCCATTGGTGACACCAAAGATGGCAAAATCATCATCACCATACCATATGGGTGTCCAACTTTCTGCATGGTTTTTGTTCTTTTCAAGTAGCAATTGAATTCTAAGGAAAATATCACCAGTGTATGTATTCATTAGCTCCTTTTGACTAGTAATCCTCTTAGTCAAGTAATGTTTAATACCCTCCAACAAAGTGATTATGGGTTTATCCCTACATTCTTAAATAGCCTTATTAAAGGCCTCACACATATTATTAACTTGTAGATCACACTTAGAGTATGTTTTGAAATGTGACGTGGTCCATAAGTGAGTAGGGATGTCCAACACATCCTTCCAAGTTACTTCCTTCAAAGATTTTAATCGTTGCATTGCCATCTCCCATACTGGAATGGTTGTAGCTCTTGCAGCACTCCACATTGTCTCTTTCAATTCAAGTCCTGTATGTTTATTTTTCCAATTTCCATAGAGATGCTTCACACATAGTATTTTCTCCACATGTTCACTTACACTTTGAACAGGTGGTACTAAACCCTAAAGAAAATGATAATCATGTTATGCAATTTTAGTATGACATTACAATATTATAAAATCAAAATCAAAATGAATATGTAAGGGATACCTTTTCCTCATCTAAAATGAAGGCATAAGACCTGTGATTGATTTCTAATAAGTCTTCGAGTAGAAGGTTGTTGCGGTGGAAATAGGATATCAAACTATTAATTAGTTTGAATCGCAATTCAATTCACAACCGCTCTTTGATTTATCCGAAGGAAAAGGTCAAAAGAGGGAAAACCTATTTTTGCATCGTAAACACAATGCGGGGAAAGATCTAGGGTTCGGGGGTTGGTTAAATTTAGGGAAGGTATTAGCACCCTAAACTTCCGTAGTACTCTACGGGAACCTTTTGTTCAGATGTTTACTATTTGCTTTATTTATTTGCTTAAGGTATATGTACAAAGGATTAAAAGTGAGAAAAGAGACCTAAGGGGTTAATTCTAAGTTTACTCGGCAAGACATCGCATCTTGTGCCTACGTATCCTTACGGGAGTGGAATCAGAGTAATCGTAGTTCCCCTCAAAAGGGAGGTTAGAAACTTCTTGACTGTGGTCAAGGTCTCAAGGGGAATAAACATGTCTTAAGGACACATTTACGCGGAGTGTAGAAACTCCAAATCTCTACGTTGAATTGTTAAGTTGTAATTAGGGTTAAATTAGGGATTCCACGGCGGGAAACCCTAAAATGAGCGCGGCGGCTCTTTGACCTAATGCTAGGGGTAAAATTGTAATCTTGCCTGCGGCGAGGCATTTGTGAAAATTAGGGTTTGTAGTTGTAAGGGTGTAATTTTGAGGTTGAGGTTGAGTACTATTGACACGGTGGTCAAACGGCTAGACCTAATTCCCTCGGAGTGTGTAAGGTGACAGAAATATCGCAATACATCAGCAGAAATTTAAATCATACATCATGCAGAAATTTAAATGCGAAAAGTAAACGCGATTATTAGGTTCGCGAGATTACAATTGAGATACAGATACAAATATGAACGAAACTTAAATCGAGAAATAAAATAAATGACGGTAAACATGACAAGCTGCAAAACCAATGAACAATGTTAGTAGGCAAAATTAGGCAGCAATGAGTTACGAGAAGA